TCACTAAAATTCAGTTTCACAGATTTATAATAGGGTGAATAAAACAGAAAGATAAAACCTTCCTTCGACGAACGAACCGGAAGGGTGCTTCCTTCGACCAACGAACCGGAAGCAAGCAACCACACTTTCCATCGACCAACAAACCGAAACAATGCAATCAGAATCTTCCTTCAACCAACGAACTGGAAGAACAATAGCGTTGCCAACTCGAAGAGAACCGCTCCAACCTTTGACCCACAAAGCGCGAGCTTCTCCTATTTACGAGATCAGGCAATGTAATGAACCAGCTTTTTTTGAACTTCCTCAGTTACATTGTATTCTTAAAAAGCTCAGAGTTAACCCTCTAAGGGTTTTAAAAACAACTATATATAGATAACTGGTCTGAAGTGAAAAGACATATTACAATTGCCAGTGATAATCGATTTTTATTAGTGATAATCGATTATTTAAGTCCGTTCCAGGGTTTTCAAAAAGTGATAATCGATTATTCTAAGGACTTGTACAGTTCTTATCAGGACCAGTGATAATCGATTATTTGAAGTAATAATCGATTATTCTAGAACAAAATGGTTTTTCAAGAAGGCTCGTGATAATCGATTATTCTACCATATAATCGATTATACGTAACTAACTTAAAGATACAAGATTTCTAAGTGTTTACAAGTTGAAATCTTTCCTAATACATTTGCAAACTATGAAAGTGCTTTTAAAACAATTATAACATGATTCTTCGAGTTTTATCACTTGCAGCATCATCAAAATTTTTTATCTTCAAAGTATAATGCTCCTCTTTGGTAAGAAGGTGCTCCATCCATCTTCACATGTTGGGTCAAATTTTGGATGATAGGGATGATGTCAAGAAATATTGGTTCGCTGCATTATGTCAATGCTTTACACAATTAACGCTAATCGTCTTCTGATCCAGATTTTAGATGGTTGTTATAACTCTGTATCATGTTTACATATCGACCACACATTATTGATGGTATAAGTGCATAGCAATAATTTTATCTTCCCCTCCCATAAGAAAATCTTTAAATATAAATCAATTTTAGAGACCAAAATAATTAGTCACCGTAACAACTAACTTAGATACTATTTTATAAATTAAAGGTCACTAAAATAATCATTATAAAAAAAATTATGATTAGCTTGTAAATAAAAAAACTACTAAAAGAATTAATAACTAAATTGATCAATAATTAATATTAGTGACCAATTTCTTTGGTACCCAAAACTTTAATACCTAATATTAGTTACCAATTTAGAATATAATTTAAAAGATAATTATAACTTTTTATTCATAATAATGACTATTTTATTAATTAGTAATTTTTAGTTTATAAATTAGCATCTAAATTAATTACTATACCAATTATTTTTTGTCATTAAAATTAATTATCATTTAAAAATTTTCTCCTGTAGTGTTTCATGTGTAAAAATAAAATAAAATTAACAAATAAGAAATATGAAAATGAAGCTAATTATTGTATTCAACATTTTCTCTCCAACGTTGGATAATAATTTTCAAAAGATTTAATTTATTTCTTTGTTCTTACTTTTGATATATTATGTCAAGTTGGTCGAATCTTGTAAAATCGTTTTAATTTGATCCAAATCAAGTAAAATATGCCTCTAAGTTCTTTCAGTTAAATATGATAATTGTTTTATGACGTGGCAAAAGAATATGATAACGTGAGATTGTATTGGGATATTGGTTGAGTTGTAATTAGGGTTCTTTTATTATATGTCCTTTTCTAAACCCTAATTAATTCTAAATTAGTTTTTCCTTAATTAAATTTCCTAAATAGAGATTTCAAACTTAATAACCCTGATCAGAGAAATTTTCCAATTCTCTGGCTTTCCTTCCTCGCGGACCAACGCAGCATTGGGTGTCCTTTGTCTCGCCGTGTGGCGCTAACTGAGGAGCTCGCGACCTTGGTTGTTGGAAAAGGCGATGACGCGATGGAGGTTCAAGCTGGGAGGGCTTCGCTGCACAAGACATCCATCTTCTTTCTCTCCTTTTTCGACTTCGCAAGGACCCCCTTCTCCCTGTCCTGGTTCACTTTTCGTAGGGAGAGAGACTCATTTCCTTTTTTCGTTTCTGGTCCGTTTTGTAGCAGGAAGATGCAGTTTCTTCTTTCCTCTTTTATTTTCGGTTCTGGCTCAGTTTTCGCATGATGAGAGAGGCTTCACGTTTGATTTAGGGTTTTTGTTGGGGTTTCTTTGTTGTTTTAATTCGGCCTTAGGGAGAACAATTTCTTCCTCTTCTTTCTGGATTCAAATTGGGTTCCTATTTTTTGGGTTTCTGCTTTTAGATTTGCGTTTCAAATGTGTGTTTTCTGAAATTGGAAATTTGGGATTCTTGATTCTGCGAGTTAGAGTTTTAATTGTTCTCTGATTTTGGGCGTTTCTGTTCTGTTATGAGTTTTGTGAATTGGGATGTAGGGCACAAGCAAATTTCCTGAAGCAACCCCAGCTCACCGAGGAGACATATATAAACCTTAAAAAATTGGTTTTGTCAAGTTACCATACTTCTTTACCACGTCATGAAACAATTAACTCGGTTTGTACATATTTAATTAACGAAAAGTACTTCATTCATTGAAACAAATTTTATCAAAGTATAAACCAAATTAAAACCTTTTAAAAAAATTGAAGTAACTCGACACACTTCACCACAAAAAAGTAAAGACAAAGCAATTAAACCTGTTAAAAAAACAATTTAAACATCTTTTATATATATATATATATATATATATATATATATATATATATATATATATATATTTGTAGAGAGAGAAGGCGCGAAATGATGATATGATTCACATAAGACGAGTTTGGAAGTCTTGGAGGTCATGATTGTATTTGTTGATGATAAGATAACATGGGGAGATGATGGTTGATGCAGATGAAAATGGATGTTCAGGAATGAGGTGTGACGTGTGAGAGGATTTTCAAATGGCAGAGAATTGTTGATGTATCCAAATCACAGTCAAATCAAGGCATGCATGCATCAAAGATGAGAGAGCAAGCACTGTTGGTATGGAAGCACACGCAAAGCAATTTGCAACTGTGCCTTCTAATCTGCAACCACTTTCCTATTTTCTTGTCTTCATCTCAGTTCAAGACAAAAGCTAGCATTTTCTGTGAAAACGTTAGCATCATTCCCTTTCTGGCCACACCCTTTTTCTTCTTCCTAATAACCTTCACTTTCAAATCACTTTTTCCACTTGTTTTTCTTAATTACACTACGTTACTTGTCACTATAATCCTTCTTAAAATACTACTTCTATCACCATTGTTAGTTCTGTATAATGAAAACTCATAAATCTCTCAATATTTTTAAGATTTTATTTGTCTAAAGTTTAACATTTTTTCCCTAATATAGATTTAAGTGATTTATCATCTTATATGTGGTTATGTTTATTTTATTAAAAATAGTAGAAATAGACGTGCGTCCATTTTTTTTATCATAAAAAAGATAAAAATTAGTATTAATCTAATTATTAAATACTAAAATTAAAAAATGTTATTTAATTATAATTTTTTTATAAAAAGTAATTATAAAATAAATATAAGTATTTTAATAATTTTACTGAGTAGTTTTTATTTAATTATTTGATAACTATTTTAACTTAAAAAACAGCTACTTAAATACTAAAGTAGTAAAAAGTTTATATATATGAAAAATCTCTTCATAGATGAGAGAAAATGAAAATAGGGTTTTAAAACACCTTCGTCCCTAACCCACATTTTTAAACATTAAAATATTCTTTTTACTATGATGAACTGATGGAGTTTTGTCTTGTGTATGTGACAACAAATAAAATAATCGATAAATATAAATTAAATGGATTGATTGGATTTTAGATTGAAGCAAGTTAATAATTCAAACACATGATAGTAACTCACTTAACAAATATATCACTTTATCGTTAAGCTTCTGATAAAAAAAGATATTTGAAACAAGTTAAAAATGGTAGCATAAAAAGGATATAGTTTTTGACAAACACTCACAAAAGTTTGAAAGACCACATTTTTCTACAGGGTTCACAACGTAAATTGAAAAAGAATTTGACAACTTAAAAATACAAGTATATTGACCTCGTTAATACATAAAAAAATATTAAAAATTAAATTTTAAATCTATGTAAATCCTGTAAAATTTTAAAATTTCACACTAATTAAAAATAAAATAAGTTTAAAATATTTAAGTAAATATAAACTTTATTTATTAATCGATTTTGTAGAATAATTACTCTTAAAATTATGCTGATAAAATAAAACCAGTATTTTGGTAACTTAAAAACAAGAATGTTAATCTATTAACACAAAAATAAAATAAAAACTTATTAAGAAGTGAGTTAAGTGTTCTATAATTTTATAAAATCTAAAAGATTTCATACTAATTAAAAATAAAATAAATTTAAAATATTTAAATAAATGTAAACTTTATTTACTAATCCATTTTGAAGGATTGATAAAATAAAACAAGTAGAAACTAATTATTTGTCGATTTTAATAAAAGAAAACATCCGAGTATATCTATTGCACAAATGAAATCCCTGTTCCTCCGCAAGGTAGAACTATCGTGGCAACTGAAGAAGAGACGTGATCAAACTAGCAGAAAATGGGAGAATAATGACCACACATTAACCGCCATGAAAGATCATCTCTCCCTCTTTTCTATTTATTAATTTATTAATGTACATTTATCTTATAATTTTCAGTTTACATTTTGATGAATTATATTTGTAGCTAATAACATTAAAATAATTCATTATATCATATAAACATATAATCATATTATTTTTGCCTTTTTTATCCGCTATTATTATTTTTTTCTTATCCTCTATTATTTTTGCTGTATTTTGTACAGAATGTATATATTTATTATTTGTATTTATTTTCTTAACTTTGTCATAGAAATTACCGTATGTTATATTACGTGGGAGTAAAAATAATATATACTGCTGAAAGAAAAATATACTGTGTTAAACAATTTATCCATAAAATGAAAATACAAATATCCCGGTCAACCAAGACACGATTTCTATACTTTGAGACCTGCACTGAACTAGTCATTTATGAAGCACATTGCAAACCCTGTAACAATAACTATATGTTGGGACAAAAGGGAACAACCAAACCGAAACATAGAAAAGTATATATCTAAATCATGTTTTCCTTCTCAGCTTCACTTCCTTATATCTGCAAAAATTGAAAAAAGCATTTAGACGATGATTAAAATGAAGGTTTGAAAAAAAGTTGCAGTGTTTAACAAAACTCCAGACCAGATAATAGTAAGCACCATGCTGCAGTGGGTGGAGGGTAATGCCCCAGTCATCGGTGGGGACAGGGCCGGAAGAGTGGATAAGCACGGCTTCATCTCCGAAGGCTTGGCGCACGTTGAAGGGTCCCATCATTACCTCAAATGCAACATCGTTAATGAAAACTATACATTTTTCTCTATCTGCTGTAACCTCAACACCAACACCTGACACAAATCGAATCATCTCTCATGTGCGAGTCGAAAACCACCACTTACAATAACCTACCTAAGGCAATCAACCCATGCACACGTCCATGTACATCAACACAACACCACATATACCCTAATCACAGAACTAGCCCCTACCTAATAAATATGCTCTACATCACATAAGAAACTTTTATAACTTAATGTTCCTTATAAATTTTTAAAAAAATTATTCTTTTTTGTGTTTAATTTAATTTATTTAGAAAAATAACGGTGTAACCTTTTCAATTACTTGCTTATTTCCAACATGTAAATTACCTTGAAGCTGGGTGATTGGACATGGAAGAGTTGAGATTGCGGGAGCAACGGTTGTGGTTGAAGATGAAGTCGGATGGGAGCTAAGTTGTTGACGGTGCATTGATTTTAATGCCTTTTCCTGGTTCATGATCTCGTTGAGGAAAAGACTACTGCTGGGTCCAACCTTTGGTTGACACTGTGGTTGAGATTGCATGATATTGTTGGAGAACTGAGGGAGAGAAAACCCATGCGTTGTGATGGTATCGTTAACTATTACACCTTGACCATTATTGTGCAAAGGAAAGGAGAAAGACTCGATCGCTGGTGGCAGCAAAGCGGTGTTATTGTAGTTGTGAGACTGTAAATAAGTCTGATTCACAGAAGCAGTGGGAGAATTAGGCAGTGCATCATTGACATTTGAGAATCCAAAGGAGATCGCATTTTGGTGCACTAATTCTTTTGAGGAGGATTTGTCAGAGGAAGAGGATGAGGTTGAAGGTGGTATGATTTGAGAGAGAGAAAGTGAGTTTGGTTGTGTTTCTGTGTTGTGTTTCTTTGAGTTTTGGATGTGGCGGAGCTTGTTCTTGCTCCTGGATTTGCGATTCTGGAACCAATAGAACACATTGGCATCACCAACTTGGCCATACTCCTGCAACTGCACCCGGATCTTCCTTATCTCATCCCTTGGGGGATTCACCATCCCAGAATTGAAGATGGCTTCTAGAATGCGAATTTGCTCGGGTTTTGGATTCCATCTTGACTTTGGTTCTGGAGTTTTCTCTTCATTTCCTACAATTGCAAACCACAAAACAAAATACTTAAATATCCAAAAGACACGAAATTCAGAAAAACTATATTTTTGGAATTCAGTTTTGAATAGGGTAGTCAAGCATTGCATTGTTATCTTTTGAATATATATTATTACTGTTCCGGTTTTGTTTACATCTCTTTGCACCATGAAACGGTGAGCGTAATCATCTAGTCTGAAAAAAAAGTGATCTTTGAAGCATCACAGGAACCTGGAGTATAAGGGCTTCTTTGGCATCCCGTTGACAGGACAGAAGAGTTGTTGCCATGCTGCCATTGGTTGTGGGAATTGCAAGGCTTGGATTTGAACATGCTTGGCCAGTGTTTATTGGAAGAAGACATGATGTGATGTTGATGTTGATGCTGATGTTGATGCTGATGAGGGACGAAACTGAATCCACTAGGCCAACGTATGCAACATATCTCTTCTTATATAGCCTTTCTACTTACCCAGCGTAGTTGTGTCTGTCAGCATTCTATCCTAATGATAATAGTAGTAATAATCATAAAAATAATACTTCATTAATAAAAACAAATCTATCTGTATCACTTTCAAGTCAGACATGTAACATCTTTTACAGAAAATATCTAAAGCAATGAAACAAAAGAAAGAAGAAAGCATGCGAAATGAACTACATAGACAGCAAGAATCTCATGATATGTGTAAATATAAAATATAGAAGGAAGAAGAAAAGAAGAAGAAAACCATATATATCTCCCTTGTACACCTAGGTTTTGCTTACACTTTTAGAGTGTGTGGAGGTTCTTTAGAAGCAAAGGAAAGATGGACAGAAATAGACGTGGTAGGCCATTGAAGAGAAAAGGGGTGGGAAGGGGAAAAGATTATTGTAATGGAAGAGGTTGTTGCAGGAATAAATACGGGGCGGGGGTTTCAAAGTGAAGAAAAGGGTGTGATGTTTGATGTTTGGTGTTTGATTGGAAAGCGGTGGTGGGTTAGTAATTGGAACTTATTTTCATTATTTTGGGCAAACAAAGAAACGGGGTTTTTGGATTGACTCGAGGGATCTATTTATTATGCGTTACATATCTCTGTTTTGACTCAAATTCCTCTTTATGTCGTAGGCTTTTCCAAAGTTCCTAAAAAACGTTACTCACTCTTTTTCTATAATTACTTAACTCTTCAACTTTACTACTACTCCGTTTCTGTTTTTGTTGAAAAGAGTAGTATATTTGTGTTATTTTTAAAAATTATATTAAAAAATTTAAAAATTCCACAAAATAAATAACGTTAGTCCTAAAACTATTAAAATTGCTAAATCATTTGGTTAAGTCTTATACACTTACTAAGGCAAATCAAATGGTCGTTTGACCCATTTCGCGTAGATGGGGAAGTGAATTTTTTTTATTTACTATTGTGTTTCTTCTAGTATTGAAATTTTCCTTCTATTAAAGAAAACAAAAGGAAAAAAAGTTATGAGATGCTATTTAATTTTAAACAATACTATAAATCGTTTATTGAAAATGTTTTAAATAAAATAAAAAATAACTTATTTGTTTATAGGCTTAATACAAATTTTGATCCCAATTTTTGTCAGTTTTATTCGAAATGATTCTAATTTTTCTTTTCTATTCAATATTGTCCTAAAGAATGTAATTTATGTTCAATTTAATCATTTTTGCAGACGGCGTTTAAATAGTTAACGACACACTGTCCAGTTGTGCAATAAGTGAATGTCATGTCATTTAACTATTGACCTGCCTTGCCACGTGGTAGCCCTTTCCCCACCCAAAAATTTAGGGTTTCTGAATGCAAGGAGGAAATGCTTCCTCACGCCTGCGCCACCAGAGGAAAACTGAAGCTTGCGATGGTCCAATTGACCATAGTGGGTCTATCGGAGTTTCGTAGAAACGAGAGAAAACTCCTTTCTCGCATCGCAGTGAGGGTTGCAACGGCGGTGCCTCCGCGAAAGTTCGATCTCCGACGTAATCGTGATGCGAGAAGCTCACCGTTCTCATGCGATTTTGCGGCAATAGGACTCGCGATTGAAGATTTCAATTTGGGGGTTTTTGTTGTCTTATCTGGTTTTTGTAAATTAGAATATATGATTTTCGTTTCAAAATTGATTTGGGGAATTCTTGGTTCTTCTTTGTTTTGCGAGTGGTTAGGGATTTTGTTCTTCCCTGCAGGTTTGGGTTTTGGGTTTACGAAGTGGGGGATGAGGGTTTAGATTGGGAATGTTAGGGTTTCTGAACTTGGAATGAGGGTTCTTCTCTGTTTTTCCATGAATTTGTTTTTTCATTTTGGGTTCATTTGATTTGCGATAATGGGTTCTATGGTGGTTGTTGTTGGATGCATGGGTGGCGCCAATGAAGATGCTGGTAGGTGGCCATGGGTGGTGTTTTTGGGTGGTTGTTAGACGGAGATGATGATGGAGGTGCGAAGATGGTGGTTGGTCGTGACTGTGGCAGTGGCGGTTAGGGTTAGGTGGTGGCTAGGGTTTCTATGTAGGGGAAATTAGGGCTTCTGGAGGTAGGAAATGATGATAACGTGTCAAGGGTGATGTGTCATTTATTACACAGCTGGATAGTGCACCATTAACGATTTAAACGCCGTCTGCAAAAAGGACTAAATTGAACATAAATTACATTCTTTAGGACAACATTGAACAAAAAAAAATTAGGACCATTTCGAATAAACTGACAAAAATTGGGACCAAAATTGGTATTAAGCCTTTGTTTATACTTAAAATCAATATCAATACGTTTTTTTGGATGATATTTTTGTGTCATTTGGATGATATTTTTTATTTTCTGGAACGGATGACCCAAGTTCTCCATCATTGGTGGTGTCTAGTGTATTAAAACAAATTTTGCCCCACTCAATTGTGAAGAAAGAGCCCATATATGTGTTTAAACCAAGGTAGGTGAAGTCCATGACCATTTTTGTCTAAGTCATGGCCTGGTAATCGATTACAAGATCCTTGAAATCGATTACAAGAGGCTGATTGTTGTTTGTACAACAAGTAATACGTGACTCCCTAACTTGGAGAACTTGACTCCCTAGGGTCATTCTTTGTGTCCCTATTGGTGATTTTTTTTCATTCTTTTGCATGGATGACTCATCTTTCTCATCTTGATTGTGTCTAGTGCATAACCCTTCAGTTCATGGTTCTACCAACCTCAACACTATGAAAAACCCTTTTTCTCATCGAACAAAGCTCAAATATTTGAGAAAGAAGACACATTTACTCGTTGATGGATAGTGCGAGAGAGGCAGAATGCGAAAACAAAGGTGGACCAACGTTGGAGGAAGTGACCTTTTTTGGTAGCAATTGATGAGAAAGGAAGGGAAAATACCGAGAGGGGAAGAAGGGAGAAATGACACCACAGAAACGAAAATAGAGAGAGGAAGAACGAGAAAAATTGCGGTAGATAAGACCGAGAATGGACTCAGGACCAAGTTAGTCGACGACGAGGAAAAATGGCGGCAAAGAAGAGCGAGAGAGAAAGACACCAACAAGAGAGGGACTTGCGATAGAGAGAGAGCTTTCAAGTTTTGAGAGGAAGAAGTTGAACCCCTCATAAACCACGAAAGAAATTTGTTTCCCAAAACACACTTCATATAAGATTTCATTTCTTAAAATATTATTTAAAACAAACCAATCAAAAGTTGTCACCTAGCGTTGTAAAAAATGAGTTGTTAAAAAACATTTTCCTTTTTCATTATATAGTTTGAAATAGTCACATTATCGTCACAATACCTTCTTAAATATTGTTAACATTGTATTGCATTATCGTCATAGCCACAATTAGTCTCTTAATTTATCGTCATCAAAGTTTCTTCTTTAGAATTCTCATGTGTTATAATTTATATTGCGTCACCTGCTTATCATTGTTGTTATGAGTGCGGTTAGAATTTTATCCTATTAACCTTTATTACAAACTTTAAGTTAGGCTTAATACCACTATTGGTCCCAATTTTTGTTAGCCTTGTTCGAAATGGTTTTAATTTTTTTAAGATGTTCAATGTAGTTCTAAAGATCGTAATTTGTGTTCAATTTAATCCTTTTTGCAAACACCCTTTAAATCATTAACGACCAAAAGTCCAACTGTGCAATCCGTGAATGACATGTCATTTAATTGCTGACCTGCCTTGATTGAAACATGACACAACCAATGAGAGACTACCACTTGGCAACCCCTTCCCGACCCAAAAAATTAGGGTTTCTGAATGCAAGGGGGAAAGGCTTCCTTACGCATGCGCCGCGAGAGGAAAACTGAATGGGTTTCGAAATGCAGGAGCGTCGCGATGCGAATCTTGCTCGTGGTTGTTTGTCTGTGATTTGGTTTCTTTCTACTTGCAGGTTCGAAGAACAGCTTTGCGATGGATGGAGAAGATGAAGATTGATGGAGAATGGCGCTTTTTCGACAATGATTCTACTCCAATTGGTGTTTAACTATTGGCAAATTTAACCGAATCGTATCAAGTAATAAAACTGGTAAGACCAAGTATCATTCTCCCAAAGGACTCACGGCCTAGACAGTTATGTGATTTGTAGATTATCTAAGACTTGTGACCAAATTCTTGTAGGTTTAAATGCAAAATACTGAAAAGTAAAAATATGAATGCATGTATTGATCAATGGGCAAGAAGAAACAAAACACGTGGTTTGAAATATATGAATGATTATGTTGTTGGGGTTTATTAATTTCATCCTATCCACTCTCATGTATTCAAGAATTCGTCTTTCTTCTTTAATGTTAATGCCACTTTCTAAATTACCTTAAACCCGATGTCTCGACGAAGAAAGCCTAATCATAATCACTAGTTTACAATGTCTTGTCTCCCTAGCAATTACTCATGCATTATAAAGCACAGAAGCTTAAAGGCAACCAACCATCATACTCCTATGTCTAGGTTTATACTACTATTGGGAGAGATTCCCCAGATCTTGATTTCCCCGTATGTGTCCATATCGACAAAATCAATAATCATGACATCGAATGAGTTAAACAATGCATGCTTAGAGCAAAGAGGAAAAACCCTAACAATTAATGAAAGAAAGCATATATATTAAAGATCTTAAAGAACAAATTCAATACATGAGAGTTTCAAAGGATTACATTGATTCCCCAACAACAATAAAGGTTTAGTTCACCTTATTCATGGTGAAACTAGATGAAATACAATAAAAGAGTGAAAGATAAAATCCTAGAAAGATGAGAAAAGAGATGTAGCATCCAAAATCCTCCTCCAAGGGGTGAAAGAGTGTGTTTCTGCTTCGTTCCAGCCAAAGATACTAACCCTAGGAAGACTAAAACCTTATATAAACTTCTAAATATTACAGAAAATTAAGCCCAAGCCTATAAGAATGTCGCTCAGCGGTAAGTGCGTGACTTCTATTCTGCCCCTCAGCTCTATTTTTGCCCCTCAGTGGTGTCTGCGAGTCTTTAAAGTGCCGCTCAGCGGTAAATGGCGTTGAGCGGTACTTGAAGCTTCTTCCTTTTATGCACT